TTGACCCCCAGTTTCCGTTGCTGAAGAGTTGATCCGGCTCTTCGAATAGCTACCTTTGGTCGTCGAGTTTGAGTTAACTTTACCCTCAACACACTCAATCCCGGCTAGGTCAGGCGTGCTCAAAACCATACCAAGCCTGTGATTTGTTACGAGTCCACATATAAGTAATATTACTTATGTTTGCTAGGCCCAAGTTGCTAGAAAGTGTCTGCCTTTCCGAACCGCATTTGTTTGCTGCTCAAAAATGTAGGCGGTAAACTAGCGATTATGGATGACAACTTTCACGTCTGTTGACGAATAATTTGGGCTTTACATATTCTGTTCTTTCGTTTCTGATTACATAAACTTCCGGAAGTCAGATGTAGTTACGCAAACACTTTTGCTAGTATCACTGGGGTCTCGAGCAGGCAATGGTGACTATAACCGGCTAATTGGAAAATCCTCATCGAAGCACACCGGAAAACATATAATTAGTTAACGCGTATAGAAGTCTAGACGAACAAATTTTAACACACCAACACCAGTTTGTGAAGCGGCAAGTCAAATGGACTTCGTAATAGACCCACATTATTTGAAATTGCATCTAAGGCAGCCAGCTGACAGTTGCGTCGAGTTTGATCCCAGTTGGAGTAAACTAGGATGCAGAGTTCATCAGGCGCAGATGAGATCTCTTGCATGTAAGATTGACAAAATTATCGATGTGTTTTCTTGTAATATACAAAACTAGAATATCTCAAAAAGGATAAAAAATAAATCATGCTAAGAGCCCCTCAACAACTTGAACAATATTTTGTCCAAACTCGAGGCTACAGATGAGCACAGGTTGGACTCGTTGTCCTGTCCTCCAAAGGGTCGAAATTGAAGGAGGGCGTAGAGGCAATAGGCTAGCGGTCGGTTGAGTAGGTTCCGCTGATTGTTTATGGAGGCTTCCGAAGGCACCCAACGGGAGTCAGTAAACGCCAACCACACGACGGCTGTGAAAAGGTTGCTGTCCTGCAGGTGGGCTGAAAGACGCAGACAGGTAATGAAAAGGTTTCGAACAATCGAGGAAGAGTGGGGCATCTCTTGACTCGTCAAGACCGTGCAAACTAATGAGCACAGGACGCAGCATTGAAGTCGAAACAGGAAAGTGCATTCTGACGGTTTGGCACTGCTGGATGGGTCATCCGGATTGGCTTCTAGGAGAAGCATCAGGCGATCCGCCAGGCCAAGCAGTTCGGCCACGTGATCAGATGGAAAAGCCCTACAGGCGGCAGATGGGAGGAGGAAAGCCCGGAGGAAGCCACAGGACCTCCATTCACAACCAACAGTAAGATGCAGTATTATTAAGAAAGGGAACAACGGCCAGAGTGCACAATTTGGCTTGTCGGATAGCACCACGGCTGCACCATCACGTGCAACATTTGCCCCCCAACGTTGTGAGAGGAGGACCTCAAAAAAGGGTGAAAGAGCGAACAGAACAGATGTCTGGATGGGTAACTGAACGAAGCCTGAGTCGGTCTGTCCAGGGTCAACTATGAGTGCAAGGCCAGAGAGATGCACGAAGGCACCGCATTCTTGCTTCTGCACGCCCGACAGTCGGAAGGAGAGATAGGAGGTGGGATGAGTGTTATCGTCTTTAGGCCGGTCAGCTAGCCATGCTTTGAATGCACACTCATCAGAATGCGGTTCATGTACAGCTCTGAAAACGTACTTGAGGAGTAGTTGTATCCGGGCACTAAAACGAAAGAAATTACAGGACAAAATCAAAGATACAAAGTGCTGCAGTGGCCAAGTGAAACTGACTGCTTACCATAGTCTGGCAGCCCGAATGCCATCGGTAATAGCTTCCGTTTGCACCACACTCTTAACTAGGCCGCTGAGTAGAGCTTGATCGAAAGACTGTTGGGAACTGAAGAGGCTTGAGGGCCTCCAGGCGACAGTTGCGCTGGGGGAGGTGAGTTTCGAGATTAAGCCTGTAAAAGACAACCAGACTGGCTGACTCCACTTACTTTGCGATGAAAGGGAAGTCTTTGCAAAGCGTTGTGTAAGCGAAACAAGATGGCTGATGCAACTTGAGGATGGACGGCAAACGTAAGGCGTTTGGGTGAAGTGGTCGCAAGGTCGAAAGAGACGTTTTCTCATGGTTGATATGACTTCAGTTGGGAGATCAAGAAATCTGAAAATAAATCAGAGGATTTGTGATCCATCACTGTAAATAACCTTGATAAGTCGGCTATACTGCCCTGTAGGCTTTATTTTTAACGTCACAGAAAATTAACCCCATAGATCAGTCTACGGTTTGACTATTACATGCTCTTAAATAAGCAAAATTGCGGAGACCGAGTTTATTTATAATTCACAAGAAGTTATTTACGGCAAATCTGTAAGGCCGACATGTTGAATATTTAAACCAGGCTCCGTCCAGGGCAGATTTATACCACAACTAAGATTTTTGCTGATGTAATCAGACTTCCCATAGTCAGCGGTCTGAAAAAAACAAAGTCAGTTTTCACTAATGCTATGCCTTAATTTAGGCATAATAGAAGTCAGCCAGGTTGCAAAAATGACAAGTGTACTCACGCGAGTGAAAAGGCTCGTTGAACTAAAAACTGCTCCCAATGGGTGACGCGTAATGGATCGCCGCAGTTTCTCTCGGGGCCATTGGTGCCTAGCATGGAAAAGTTCCAGTCGGAAGACATGCAAGCCAGCGTTCTTAGCAACTCCGTTGCAGCCAGACGCTGTTTATCGGGCACATGTGTGCTTGTGCAAGCGAAGCATCCCAAAGGCAGAAGTTGTTTTAAATAGCCTTCTTGGGGGCTTAGTAGGCTACGGCATATATCGACATTCTTAGCAGCAGCAAGCAGGAGCGTTGTCGCGCTCTCGCCATCCAAGCGGCAGAACTCTCCTCTGTCTTTGGACCGTTTGCTTCCCGTTAAGGTGGTCTCCGCCGTATTAGTGTTACCAGGAAGTAGCCAGATCAGAGCAATACGAACGAGGATACTCAAATTCTTTGAATCACTGCAAAGGCATTTGATGCTCCCACCGCAGACGAGACTCTTAAGGAAATGTACTACCCTATTCAATGTGTCCGTAAGGGGAAGGTGCTGCGAGGAATGTTCAGGATACTCCGTCGTTCGTCCACCGTAATCTGTCCTCGCGCGTTTATATGTACCTTAGCGATGAAAGGATACCATTAGATATAGTGCGATACCCTACCAAAAAATTAATGAATTGTTGCCACATACTGATGGAAAAAGTTGGCAAGGTAGGCACGCTAACATGAATTACGGTTGGTTATTCGGCGCCGAAACGTCCGTTACCTGGTTTCAGGTGCAACCAAGCAAAAGCTGATAGGCACGTGTGACGGTTTGATTGGCGGGCCTACGATGACGCTTAATTTTAAGATTATACTTAGCAGGTGGCTGCGTCTCCAATCGATGAGACACAATCAAAACCCATTTCCCAATGAGAAAAGGCAACAAAGGATTAGCCATGTATTAAAATTAATCAATAAAAGAAAAATCTGTCGTTCTTTTCCGACACTGGCCTGCTCCAGGCACGCCTAGATCTAAGGCTTCCTTAGAGTATTGGATCGAAAATTCAATGCAGCTTTCTGGGAAACATTGGTTATCGTCGAAGCCACGGTGTCAAACAGGTACTCGCTAGCACGCTTATAAAGCCTGTCGGAATTTGAGGTAATCACTTCTTTTGAACTCACGGGGTGATAACTTTCGGCTAAAAACTATTGCTTTTACGGTAATACTTGTTTTTTTCCGGTTTATGTGCTCGATGTGCACTTTTAATAGAAAAGACAAAGTTTCATTCCAGTCTGCAAATATTATAATGCGATTATGGGCCAGATGAAAATACAGCTAAACCGGCCATGTGTATGGGCACTTTCCCGATGACTTAGTGGTAGGAGTCGGACCTCGCACAGTAACAAACAATCCTTGACTGATATGAATTATAAAAACTAGCTGATTTCGGTTACTGATTCGTTGCGTATCGATGTTCGACGGACACTAGCCCGGACAAGCGCGAATGCAGTCTACAAACACGGAAAATTACGCAACCACTGATTCGAATGAGATATTTTCAAGCTATACAGAAACATTAAGCTGACAGAAGAAGCGTGCTAGTATCCGCTTACCGTATAAAAGTGGCTAATGAAAATTTATACAAGAACATGACCTTCGGATCAAATGACAGAAATTTACAGAAAGACGTACTTAGAGACTTGACATGAGGCGCGTGAAAAACTTCAAAAAACTGAACAAGAAAAGATGATTGGGCGACCGGCTTTACAAGGAATTTCAAGGTATAAAACGAGCTCACTTTCGACACTATGGGTTGGTGTTCGGGTTGTTAAGCTGTAAAGGGTCTGTAGCCACTTCCCAATGAAAGGACACGCCATCTGGTCAATAATATCCCTTGAATCGTCTGACGAGTTAGCTGATTGCTCAAGTAGATCAAGGG